AGACTACTTTTTTTGTTGTTGTTAAATAAAATCCAAATGTAGGAACCAAAACCAAGCAGAATAAGATGCTGATGACTCATGCCTATAACCTGACCCAGTCTGGAGGCTGACATCTGAGAATTGCAGTTTGGAGCCAGCTGGGGCAGGCAAAGCTAAGAGATTCTTATCTCTAATCAACAAAAAGCTGGAAGAGGAAGTGTGTCTCAAGTGGTAGAGCACCACCCATGAGCTACGAAGTCAAGTGAGAGCACAAGGCTCATAATTCAAGCCCTAATACTACCATGTGCACGCACGCACGCACACACACACACACACACACACTAAAGTCAAGTTTTCAGACTTCTTCTAGTCTTGTTCTATAAATAAGTAATTTTTAAATTTTATTTTATAGGAAAGGTGATGTACAATAAATATTTTAAGGAATAATTTGTCAGTTAATACTAGAAATTGTTTGTGTTAATAATTTAATTCAGATGTTTATTGCCACTTACTTAATTTAGACTTTGAATGCAGCCTTCAGGATGATTGCTTGACTAGATACTTTGCTTGAAAGCAAGGATTGGAAGAATGCAGATGACTTATTTAGGGCTGCTGTTGCAACCCTAAAACCTTAATAAGAATCTTGAATACTTAAGTGGATGCTGTAATTTGAGTTCTAAATAAGAGTTTTACTTTTTTACTCCGTGACACCTAATCATTTTATGTTTGTTGAAAGGCAAAGCAAAAGACTAAAGAAAATCAGAGAAACAAAAATGTATATCTAGACAAACTTGCATGCTTTTATATGTATTCTAACCTAGTACTTAATTTGGCCAGCCTAATTCAAGTTTAAATAATTTTTTACATTTTTTTCTATTAATAAGTTTTTTTCATTGTGAAAAATACAGAGGAGTTACAATTACATGAGCAAGGTAATGAGTACATTTCTTATCAAGCATTGTTGCCTCCTCCTTTGTTTCCCCTTACCATCCCTTCCCATTTCCCTCCTCCACTCCCCGCCAAGTTGTAAAGTTCATTTTTTGACATAACGTCTTGTAAAATTCCCATCTTACTGGCAAGTTTTAAAGAGTGATATAAAGAATTTGAGGCCTGGAGGTATGGTTCAAGTGGCAGAATGTTCTGATCTGCACCAGTGGCTCATGTCTATTCCTCTAGCTACTCAGGAGGTTGAGACCTGAGGATCATTGTTTGAAGCTACCCTGGGCTGACAAATCTGTGAGACTCCAATTAACCAGAAAGAAGCTAGAACTGGAGCTGTGGCTCAAATGGTGAAGTGTCACCTTTGAGTCCAAAAGCCAGGCAAAACGGCGAGACCCTGAGATCAAGCCCTAGCAGACACAAACAGTAAGTGATGGAGTATACATGGTATAGTGCTTATTTAGCAAGCCTCAGGCCCTAAGTTCAAAATCCCAGTACCACTAAAAAAAATGCCATCCTTGCCAGACTACACCAGATCATGCACAAAGAACTTTCTGTAAGGGGCCATCACTTCATTTACCTTAGCTCCCTAAAGACGGGGCAGTCCAGACAACTTTCTTTCGGGTGTTCCCTACTCAAGAAATGATTGTGTATACAAGATACATAATAAATTAGCAAACTCCTTGTACCCTAAAGCAATGCAAATTGAAGCTCAGAAAATTTGTCCCTGTTTTAGGGGAGATCTGATTGTCCACTAGATGTTCCTTAATCCTTGGGAATCAGGTGATTGCCTTGGCCAACCTAGATTTTGAGAGGAAAAAGCTTTCATAAAAGGTTGTGATATGTACTCATTACCTTGCTCATGTAACTGTAACCCCTCTGTACAGTATTTTCACAATAAAAAAAGCTTATTAAAAAAAAGGTTTTGATAATCAGGATAACCTCATCTTCAAAAAATCCTCTGCTACTACTTCTGTTGTCTTCCCAGTATAACCATCTAAATACATACATATCTGTCGCTACCGCCTCGACCACCAAGGAAGACGCAACACCGAACTCTTCTCTCTGCAGTTTATTCAGGACCTTTGAGCAATCTTCTGACCCCAAACCCGGGGAGAATTCCCCACAGCCTTAAGTAAGACATCCTCTGTTCTCCAACATACCCCTGCAAGATATTTAATTTGGTCATGTCCTTTCTTTTTTTTTGAACTTTTTGGTTTTCTTTGGTATCAGAAATTCTAATACCCTTCCGGAAATCTACTCTTCTCACCTGATTCCAAACTTCAAAAGCTTATAAATTATACAGCAAAGATAAGGCAGCATGCTGGGTCCAGGAAGGACGTAGCTGGCACTCAAACCCATTCTTATTTCTTTGTGTGAGGCAGGATATTTTGGCAGCAAGCAACAGAGAGCTTGTAGACAACTGTATTCGAGTCACAAAGCAGGGCTGGATGATTTAGAGCAACAGTGTCCTGCCTCACAGTTTGAGAAACCAGAAGTCTTAAATTAGATGTCATTAATGCCATTTCCGCGCTGCAAACTGTAAAGGAAGGCTTCTCCCTGACTTCTCTCTAGCTCCTGATGGCAGTCTTTATGGATACATCACGGTAATCCTCTATCTTCATGTGGCCATCACTATTCAGGCTTTTTAAATGATACCAAACAGATTGAATTTAGGCTTGCTCTAGCAATCATTTCAAGACTACAAACTCTGCTTCCAAATAAGGTTACACTCCCAGGTTCTGAAGGGTAGGACTTCAATACATCTTTGGGGACCAGGAGAACATAATTCAACTCATAACACTTACTTAAACATGGAATTTGTTGGAAAAGTAAGAAGTGCTTAAGTTAACTGAAAGAAGAGTGAAAGAATGCAGGTTTGAAACAGCTCACACATAACTATTCCAAAGTCCCAGGAGCAGGAGCTAATTCTCAGTCCTATGAGGACTTATTCCTGCTAGAATTTGGGAAGCTCATCCGGCTTTTCCAAAGACAAGGAAGAAAGATGTGAAATAATAACAACAACAACAATAATAATAGTAATATTAAACCTTGTCCCCTGGAAGAAAGCAAGGAGAAGGGTAAAACCAAAGAAAATCACAAAGTTATCACTAGTTCTATGTTAATAATTAACATAGATGATTATTATCACCAATTAGAAATATTAGCCATTCAGTGAATGCTGGTTACTTCTGAGTTATCTCTAGTTACATTTTATGACCATGCCATTTTAATTATGGGGGAAATTAACGCCAGAACCAGCTCTTTTCTTGTCCTTTGGTCTGCTTTTCCACAACTCCAGCCTAGGTCAGGACATCCCACAGGTGTGGTCAGTTGTCCCCAGGTGCTTCAAACAGACTCAATTGCTGATGTGCCTACTTTTCATGCTGCAACTCTGGGCTCTCCCTGCTCCACCCTCCCTCTGCACCCATCCCACCGCTACCACCTCAAAGAATACAGCCATTGTTATATTAGATAGGTTTTGAATTAAGAAAAGAAGAGGTGGAAAAAATTAACAATGCGAACTGCAGAAAATTAGGGGTATTAAGGAGGTGGCTTATTATTAAATAGTGTAATCATCTTAAAGAATAGACTTAGCCTCCAACCTGTCCTTTTTTTTGTACCATTTTCTTTGGAGCTTTTTTACTCTTCCAAAGAGAAATAGCTAATAGGCCTACTGTAGCGGTTTGCATGTCAAATTCCACACCATGTTATGTAAAGAAAGGGATATCACTAACGATGGAGTCTGGGAGTTAAGAGTCTAGGCAGGGTAGGTCACTCCCAGCTTAAAGGTAGAATACTACTACTATAGGTAGAGCATGACCTCACAAAGTGTGATTAGCCCATGGGGGAGAACAGAGTCTGGTAGGACAGCTAAGGTAGGAAATGATGGTGAAAGGGAAGGTAGGGAATGATAGAGAAGAGTGCTTTTGAAATGTTACATTCTTAGCTTCAGAGAAACCAAATGATCTGGCCAGAAGTAATGCCTGTGAATTCTGCTCATGACTCATGGACCTGAACCAATCACTTAGCTCCACCCAAATCTAGGAGGGCAGGAAGTAACAATCCCCCCTAAAGGAGAAACTAGACCTGTTTACTCAATGAGGATATTGATTCCTCACTGTAAAATGCAATTTCAGGTTGATTCCCAACAAGCTGTGATTCAGAAATTCCTGGAAATCTGTATTTGTGTGTATGTGTGTGTGTTTGTGTGTGTATGTGTGTGTTGGTCTTTTTTTGTACAAGGCTGGCATTCTGTCACTTGAGCTACAACTCCACTTCTGGCTTTTTGGTAATGAGTTGAAGATAAGAGTCTCACTGACTTTCCTGCCTGGACTGGCTTTGAACTCAGATCTCAGTCTCCTGAGTAGCTGGGACTATAGGTGTGATCCACAGGCACCTGGTAAAATACCTTCATTTTTTAAGGCTTCCTCAGTTGATACTGAGACATGTGGGGAAGGAGGGAGGGAGAATCCCTGGACCACAATTTGAGGAACATAAACATAGAATACCAACTCAGCACCTGAAGGTGACTCAAAGGAAGTGTGTAGGATCAAGCTGGGGTAATCTTGGGTTTCAATTAGAGAAACTAAGGGCGCCTGAGAGCATGGCACAGAGGGCTCAGTAGAAGTCCCAGGCACGAAGGTTGCATTAAATGTATGTGAGACAGAGAAACCCTGCACTCCATCAAACACTGGTAGATGAGGAAGAATGAGAAGGCAACTCCAGCCAGTGCTCTCTAGATGTGGTCTAATGCTTAGGTTCAGAGCAACAGAAGCTTAATTGGCCATGAGTTAGCACAAGATATTGTATAATAATTTTTCCTTCCTCTCTTGTTTTCTCCCTTCCTTCTCTTTTTCTTTTGCATCCTGTATCACATGCTATTCTCTTCCCCATGATTCTCTTTTTCTTATTTTTATTCCTTGCTTTTCCTTCTAATTATTCTGTTCTCAATATTTTCTCCCTTCTCCTACCTATCCATCCCTCTTTGTCACTCCATCTCTTGTTCCTTAATCATTCTCCTTTCCCTTTTCCTGCCATTTTTGCTTGCTCATGGCCCACCAACTCTATTGCCTCTCCAGGTATTATGCCATCTGCTGCCAACCTCTGGTTTACAGGAACAAGATGACCCCTCTGCGCATCGCATTAATGCTGGGAGGCTGCTGGCTCATCCCCACGTTCATCTCTTTTCTCCCTATAATGCAAGGCTGGAATAATATTGGCATAGTTGACTTGGTGAGTATGTACATAACATACTCTACTGCTTTCTTTTCTTATCAATTTGGCTTGGAATTCTAAATAAACAAATAATGAGAAACTGGGTGAATAATCTAAAGAAGATTCTCATTGTATTTGGAGACTTTCTTTTACTAATCTTTTTTTTTTTTTAATCAGTTGTGGTGTTGAGCTCTGGCCCTGATCACTTTTGCTCAAGACTAGAGCTCTACCATTTGAGCCATGGTACCACTTCTGATTTTTTGGTAGTTAATTAGGGATAAGACTTGCATGGACTTTCCTGCATGGTTGGTTTTGAACTGGGATCCTCAGATCTCATCCTCTTGAGTAGCTAGGATTACAGGTCTGAGCCACCAGTCCTCACATTTTTTAAATAACATTTGACATAGTCTCGCTTTGACCACACTTTAGGGAGAGTTCTCTGAATTTGCTTGCCAATTAAACCTGACTTTTTGAATTTCCATGTCATCTTTACATTCGTTCATTTTAGCAAGAATCCTGCTGAATTTGGTTAGCCAGAATTATTTACCCTCAATATCTGATGATGTTCCCCTTCTCTCCTGAGCCCCCACCTGAGATCCAGTGACTTGATCTGTCTTCAGCAAGCATCAATTTGGCTATGGTTTCTCTTACATACTGATGTTTCTTCTTGATAATTTCCCATCCACTCATTCTCACTTGCCATGCATCTTGGCTATGACTTCCTGCTTTTCTTTGTTATATGCAGAGCTGTACTCTCTATCCTCCTCTTCTATTGCCAATTCCCTCTTGTAGTCTTTCCCTATCAGCTATTACACTAATGCTGAATAAAATCTTCCTTAAGTGCTTTAACAAGTGTCACTAATAATGCTTCCCTTTAATGTTACTGTATGTCAGACATTACACTAAACCCAGATAATACTAACAATATCATTTTGGGAAGCATATAATTATTTACACACTTTACAGAAGAGGAAATCTAGGCTCAAAAGGTTAAATAACATTCCCAAAGCCATGCAACTTACAAATAACTGAACAGGGACTAAAGGCTTAGCAGTTAGATGACAGAATTTGAGGTATGTCATATGTCCCATAAGAATTTTATCCCATTTTACACTGTTAGTCTGTAAATTCTGTGGTAACAGAGAAAACATGTCATCTATATGAATGCTAATGGAGTAGAAGGAGTCCTAGGCCAATAGTTGAGAGAATTAAGCCCTAAGCCAAGTTCTGTTACAGTTTCACTTTCTGAAGGACTGTAATCAGAAAGCCATCTGGTCCCCATTAGCCCATCAACACCATAGGCTGTCCCGTGAATTGTGTCAGGCAGTTTCCAGTCTCTGTGTCTTGATTTTCCATAGAAATAAACACAATATGATGTTTTGTGTGTATACATACATGTACATACGTATGCTTATATCGATATTCATATGGAGAAAGACGGATATGGAGAGAGAGAGAGAGAGAGAGAAACTTGGAAGGAACTGCCTTGTAGTTATGAAGGTTGAGAAGTGGCTCACATCTGTAATCCTAGCTACTCAGGAGGCTGAGATGAGACCTAGAGGATGGTGGTTTGAAGCCAGCCTTCACAGAAAAGTCTACCCACCCATTAACTGGCAAAATACTGGATAATACACATGTCATAAGTGCTGGAAAACCAGCTGTGGGCAACAGAACTGAGTGAGAGCCTGAGGTAATGAGCTCAAGCCCTGGTGCTGGACCTTGATACAGAAAAAACAAAAAACACCTGCATTCAGCACACTAAAGATCCTGGAGAACCTATTTTTCAGTTCAAGTCCAAAGACAGAGAAAACTTTATCTCATCTTGAAAGCAAGAAGGCAACAGAAGCTCCTTCAGTCTGTTTCCTACTCAGGCTTTCATTAGATTGAAGGAAGCCTCACATCAAGGAGAGAAATCTGCTTTATTTAATCGATGAATACAATGGTAATCACATCCAAAAAATATCCCCACACCAATGTGTTACCTAATGTTGGTTATAGCTCAAGTTGAGTTAACATTTGAAATTAACCACCTCACCCTGTCTGGACAATTTTGAAGAGCCCTCCATTCCAACGTAGCAAAATTATAATGAAGATAAAATCTATAGTCTAGATTCACTCCCCTCAGGGTACTTTTCCTAAAGAAACTGTCAGACAGTCACTCTAAAATCAGTCCCAAGATCCATGTAGATGCAGGAAGGGGACAGAGAGAAGAGAGACTGAGCATGGTAGCCCAGTATTCTTCCTCTCTCTTAGTCCCTATGCCTACTTTTTCTTTGCTCATGAAAGTATATCGAAACCAAGACCCATGCCAAGACTTACACCTGTTACATTAGAACTCAAGTCCTCAGGTATCTGAAGGAAATGCTAGAAGAGGCGGGAAAATGAAGTAGAGTGAGGATCCATAGGGGAAAATATAGGGATATTTTTCTTGAGTTGTCACCCATGTCTTTAGAACTGTAAGTTTTATCACTCTTGGGGGAAGTGAAATCTAAATTTCCATTAAATGTTATTGCAGTAATAACTGTCCACTAATGTTGCACATTTTTAATAAGTCCATGTTCATGATCTTTTCCTGTGAACTTCACTTAGATCTCACAACAACAGTATAACATAGAATCCATCACTGTGCTCATTTTACAGATCAGGAAACTATGGATCAGCAAAATTATTAGGCAAGGCCTTGGTAAGAGATAGTAATAACTATATCTTAACCAAAGTTTACTGGATTCGAGAGCCTTTGTAAAAATTATCTGGAGAGGATGTTTGAAGCACATGGGAAATTTTTAGTAAGGGCTCAGCATTCTTAACTTCTGGTGTAGAATACCCATGGAAAACATATAGAGCGCCCCTATACCCAGCAATCCCACTTTTAGGCATTTACCCAAACAATCACACACAAGGCCATACTAAAGCTACCAGCACAGCTATGTTTATTGCAGCATTATTTACCATAGCTAAGATATGGAACCAACCCTGATGCCCCTCAGTAGATGAATGGATCAAGAAAATGTGGTATATACATATATATGTGTATATATATGTATATGTATGTATATATGTATATGTATATATATGTATATGTATACACACACAATGGAATTCTATGCTTCCATCAGAAAGAATGACATCGCCCCATTTGTTAGGAAATGGAAAGACTTGGAAAAAAAAAAAAAGCAAGTGAGACTCAAACATAGGTCCCATGGTTTCCCTTATTTGCAATAACTAGTATAGGTCTAGGACAAGCAGAAAAGGTCAAAAGCTATGTAGATATGACCATATAATCTGATGCTAAATGAAATGAACCCCAAGATAGGGACACAAGATGTTTTTTATCTTTGTTGCTGATCTTTTTAATATACTTACAATGTACTATGTGATTTTTTTTCTTGTATGTTCTTCCCCCATGGTATAACCCCTGTGTCACTGTATTTGATTCTGGTGACCTGCATATTGCATATACATTTTTCTAATTTGGGGAGGGAAAGGAAAACAATAAAATGCTGAAATAAGGATACAGGTTGACCCATTGTAACAATGAGATGTATAAGACACTATGTTGAAAACGAACTTTACAGCTTGGGGGGGGGGAGATAGAGAAGTTGAGCAGGTGAGGAGGAAAGGGATGGTAGGGGAAAATAAAAGAGGTGTAACAATGCTCGATAGGAAATGTACTCATTGCCTTGCTCATGTAACTATAACCCCTCTGTACAGTACTTTTACAATAAAAATATATATTAAGATAAAAAATAAAGAAAACAATGTAGGAGGTTTCTTTTACCCTTGAGGGTAAATTAGAGACATGCCCTATTACCAGCAATCTAGATGAAGCATCTGCTTACCATTAACATGACTTAAATGCATCTATCTCCATTCATCCACACACATACATTCTCAGCAGATGGATCTGCTGAGAGAGAAGCTAGTGCCACCTGTGCGATCACAACATTCAGTGCTTATTCTCATTGTCCTCAGCTATCACATTTTATTCACTGCCAACACTGAACTAGCAAACAGTGAATCTTTGCTCCTAAGGGAAACACAGGGTTAGACTCCTCTAAGTCTTTAATTGCATTTTTTATTAGCTAGTCAATACATAATAGTATTTTATGTATCTTTCTATTTAATGACACTGATTTAGTTCACATTGTTAACTCATTATCACTGAATTGAATGCCATGGCACTGTAACAACTGCCTGAATGAAACTTGTCTAATGCATGTATCTTTTTCTTTAAAGACCTCTGGCAGTTAGGAACCCTGGACAACATTTTAGTCAGTACTAATAAGGGATATACTAAATAGTGTGACGGACAACAAAAACATGCAAAGATGCAAAATATGCAGCAGGAAAAGCAAAAGGAGACGTATCTTCTAGTGGAAGACAAAGCATTTTTTGTTTGATTTCAGTTTTGGATCATGCCTCTCCAGCATATTTCTCACATCCTTCTAGGTGCATGTATGTAAAACCAGTGAAAGCACCATGCACAGGAATTGACATTTGGAGAGTGTAAGTAAATGTTAGTGAATAGTGAACCCACAAAATATGAATAATCAGGATCAATCATATACCCCATGTATAAATCCATACACACACATGGAAATATAGATAAGACCAGAGCAAGAACCTAGAGTCTTCTTTGCTAAGTCAGAGCATTTGAGCTTTTACAGCTGGACATGCCAGAAATGCTCTACTTCCTCCCTAAAGGTTACACATGACCATATATTTGCCAATTCATTCACTTAGCCAGTCAAGAAATATCAATAATTCAGTATATTCTGTTGGTACCTAGGAAATCAATGGTGAAAAGCATTCCAACTTTTATGGCACTTAAAATCTAGTAAAAAGAAACCGCACTATATTTCATTTGTAAAACTCAAAAGCCATGAAAATAATGAGTGCGAAAATGTCTAGAAAATAGCAAACCAATAAAGAGGAACAAGCATTAAAAAAGAAAAGCAGAAAATTCCTTAGAAGTCAAGTTAAAAATACATTAAAGTAAGGAAGGAGAATTTTGTTCC